AAGGGAGTTATATACTTCTACTGCTCTATTATTGAAGACCGTACTATAAAGTAAATATTTTTCCGAATAAATTATTAGTTTAAGATTATTCCATCACGCTGATGAACGTTTTATCCTGGGGAATACTATGATTCAGTGTTAACTGTCAATTTAAAGGGTAAGAGAGAGAGAGAGGTAAAAAGAAAATAAACCAATGACAGTTAAAAGAGACCAGTCCTAGGGACAAGCCATCTCCACCTTAAAGCTGTTGACTCCTTACTGAGCACTGCAGGCTCTGACTTTAAGATAAATAAATACTACTGAAAATGTATTCTAGAGCAGAGCTTGTAATCAGCATACTGTAAACTTCGAGCCTTCTAATAAGCTCACAAATATATTATTAACTCCTTGGGTTCCAAGTACAACATAAGGCTTCAACAGCATATCTGCATTTTTCCCTGTTCTCTGCAATCCTCTCTACCTAGCCCCACGATTGCCCATAGTCTCTCATCTCCTCCTCACATGATCTCCTCCACGTCAAAATCGGACCAACGCCCAACTCATCATTCCCCATTTTTCTTCCACTCAAACTTCAAGAACGAGACATCACCCAACGGTCTACTCAGCGTGTATCCAATCCATCTCCATTTTCTTCTACATGTTTGTTGAGCAATAGGTTCTTGGTTGGTTTGTCCCCAGAGTTTATTGTTACTAATTCTTCCTGGCCATTTGATCTTCAGTATGAAGTGAAAGCAGCTGCTGATAAAGGTTTACAGCCAGTTGGAAATGCTTTTCGTGACACTCACTGAAGGTTTCTGACCAATACAGAAGAACTGACTGACTTCCCATTTGTGTTGAGCATCCAAATCTTGTTTTTTATGCTGAGTGAAGCAGAAGATTTCCAAACTGGTTTCAGGTTGATTAAGGCGTATCTTGCCTTTCCGATTCTTGCTGGCTCTGACATCTTCATCCGTTCCGACTGCCTGTGATTGAAACAATGCTTCCTGGATAAGTGAAGGAATTAACCTCTGTTAAATCTCTCCTGTTGATGGTGATTGGTGCTGGTTGTTGTTGTTGCGGTTCGTTGGTTATCTTCATCGCCCCCATCTTCTCTATGTTCACCTGAAGTCCTGTCTTCTCTGGCTGCTTCTTCAACCAATTTGTTGGTTTTCGCCTGCAAGTCTTTGCGTCTGTGTGACATCAAACATAAACCATCCAGGTGCGAAATCCAGATCCTCTAGAGTCTTCTTTTTGGTCCTGCGTATTCCTGTCTCCTCGCTCCCCACAGTCTGACTCATAATCCAGTCCACCACAATTAAGAATATCATCGATGATAATAATCAGGCAGCCTTGTCTTACTCCTGTATTCACTTCGAGCGCCTCACTGAGTTTTCCGTTGTGGATCACCTGACACGTTGCAGGCATTGTCATATAGCCAGCTGTTGGACACTGCACACTGTAGTGTTGAAGTAGTTTCCAAATTACTTCTTGGTCAACGCTGTCTGTCGAAGGCCTTTTCGAAGTCGATGAAGCTGTTGAGGTAGAGGTTTGACTGCCATTCTATGCTTTGTTCTGTGATGATGATGCGTGGAGTTGCGATTTGATCAGCATATGATTTGCCTATCCTGAATCCAGCCAGCTTGTTCTGGGTGGTGGGGTGGAGTTCCGTATCCAGTGCATCATTAATTCTCTCCAGGATGATGCGACTTAGTATTTTACTTGGCGTGGACAAGAGCATTATTCCACGCCAATTCTTGCACAGGCCTAAGTCGCCCTTCTTTGACAGCTTGACAAGGTAACCAGCCTTTCCTCCAATCGGTAGGTACCTTTCCTTCTTTCCAAACCTTTTGCAATAATGGCGTGAGCACATCTGCGGCAGTCGCTGGGTCCATTTCCAGTGCTTCGGGGTAGGGGCATTCTGTCTCGTCTTGCTGCCTTCCCGACTGGACTTCAGTAGCTTGATCGCATTTAGTATTTCTGCTTTTGCTGGAGGGTTGGTGTTCAGCAGTTGTGTGTGTGCTGTTGGTGATGGTGTATTTCTGCGCAAATTGCAGGTGATGGTCAATTCAAGAGTCCTTTGAAATGATCAGCCGAGTTTTTTCTTAGTTTGTCCTCTTTGGCAATTAAGTTCCCTTGACCATCTTTTATAGGTTTCACCTGCGTTGATCTCTTCCATAATAGAGACCTAGCTATCTGATATAGCGTTCTGAGGTTTATTTTACCTGTGGACTGTTCTGCTTCAGTTGTCAGTGTGTCGTAGAATTGTATTTCCTTGCACTCTTCACTTTTTTATTCAGTGGGATGTACATTGAACTCAGTTACAAATATAAGACATGAGTTGGGGTCCTCGGGACGGTAAAACCAATGGTTGGAAACAATTGGTGACATGGCTCAAAATCGTTCTCAATGGCTAGCGCAGATGCATCCACTCCTTGTGACTCATGATTTCCAATGAAACTGTTTTGTTCCTCGTTATTACTATTCTTTGTTCACTTTTTATTGTGCTACATGAAGGAAGTGTGGCGACTTGACGCGCACATATGTTCAAGTTCTATGTCGAAAACCGACCGACCGACCGATAAGACATGAGTAATTTTCAATAATAATACTCATTTGTTAATATTATTATTCCCTTGGTTTCGGAGTGTGACGTAGAGCTTCAACCGTACACTTTCTTTCTACTCTGCTCTCTGCAGTCCTTTTAGCTGTCTCCATGACTGCCCATATTAGCTCTCGTTTCCTCTTCACACGATCTCCTCCATTTCAACATCGGATGTCTAACTCATCGTTCCCCATGTGGATTCCACTCGAAAGCATGGCACTCGATATCACTGACACGCCTTGTCCAACCAGTTTAGCGAATCAAAACGAGTATGCCAAAGCTAGTCAATAAGCATCAATGTTTCTTTCACTGGTATACGATTTAATTATGCTTAATTTTAATGATGAAATTATTATGATGAAAAAGAATTTGAGAGAAAATGGCACATTTCAAAATGCTTATACTACATAGCAATATGAAGATGAGTCAAGCATATTAGCACCTGTTTATTGATTGAGAAATGGTGCTTCCTAGACATGATGATGATAGCTATTTTGACCTTGAGAAGCGAATTATTTGAAAGAAGTAAAACCTTTTAAGTGAAAATTGTTTTTCAGTAATTATAGAATTACAAAAAAATTTAAGTATTTTTCGATTAATAAGAATATTTTCTAATGACCTATTCTTATACAGAGTCATTCGCAGACAGCTGGTTACATACATTCATTGGATCAATATTAGACAGATCGTAATTGGTGAAATAATAAATTAGTATTTATGCAAAGATTACCCCGTGAGATAAATTGGATTATGATGTATCTGTAAACCGTTAGAGGAATAAAATAACTGACAACTTTGCATACTGATGTATCTAGTCAATTTGTGACATTTTGAAACACTAATAATTGAAACAAACATCAAAATGGTGATGCTCATACAACCGTAGAAAGATGTGAGAGGATAGAATAACCTAATCAGAGTTGAAGAAAATGCTTCAGTTTTCAAAGCTGATGAAGACTGGATATGGCGGTACAAATGTGAACAGTTTCGGGCGGTATTATCAAGAGTCTGCAAGCATAGAATATCCATTCTTGCAGGATTCCGACTAGATGGTCTTCACCATCTTAAACGGGTCAGATCAAAAATTGAGGGACTTATTTCCCTTATCTAGCAAATAAAAGCTAACTTCTATGCTATTAATCCTCTTATTCCCCGATAAAATAAATATAAAAAGATTGGTTAAAAAAACCTGAGATATTTTCACTATCTTCGTTAGCCGCTCTATCTCACAACAGTAGAAAGGCACACAGTGAAAAGCATTGAAAAATGATGGATAAACTCATAGTTTCCATTTAGAAACTTTATGTATTATTATTATTATTGTATCCTTTAATTCCTAGAGGAACATAGGGCTTCAACCGTGCGTCTCCATTGCGTTCGGTTCTCTGCTAGAGTCTTCACCTGGCTCCAAGTCTGCCCACACGTTCTCATCTCCTCTTCACATGACCTCCTCCAAGTCACCCACCCTCGCACTGACGACCAACTCGCCGCTTCCCTTTCGGGTTCCACTCGAGCGATGGCTTGTCTAGTGATGTCACCTGATGGTTTCCTCAGAATATGGCCAATCCATCTCCATTTCTTCCTGCCTATTTGTTTTACAATCGGTTCCTGGTTGGTTAGCTCATTGCCAGAGATCTCTGTTGCTGATCTTTTCTGGCTGGCCATCTGATCTTGAGTATTGAGCGAAGACGACTGTTAATGAAGGTCTGTAGTTTGTTTGAGATGCTCTTTATGACGCGCAGTGCAAGTCTCTGATCCGTATAATAGCACTGACTTGACATTGGAGTTGAAAATCCGGATCTTATTTTTGATACTGAGTGCTGTAGACCTCCACACAGACTTGAGAGTAGTGAAAGCTTGTCTTGCTTTTCCGATTCTTGCTTTGATATCCTCGTCAGTTCCGTCGCCTGTAGTTGAAACGATGCTTCCGAGGTAGGTAGGTAAATGAGGTTGTTTCTTTCAGGTTCCTTCCATTTATTCTGATTGTTGTCTGTTGTTGTTGTATATGTATATTTTCCAGTATCTTGTAATTATGGGTAAATAGACTCTAGTGAGGTAAACGAGCCAAATATAGTCAGAATCATCTATTCATAAAGTATTGACTTGGTTCAAGTAAGAATGTCCAGCAAAAAATCTCATTTGCTCTAACCATATCCATAAGTGATTTTTATCACACTGAAGATTATTCACTCATAAGACATTGAATGAAATGAATAAAACCTTCTCTGATTATATAATCAATAAGAGGTATTTCTCTTTTTTTACTAATTTATTTTATACCCTTAAAGTATTATAAGCATTCTAATAATGTTTTACAGCACAAAATTAGAATTTACACATACGTTTATATGTGAAAACATAAGTCACAAAGATCTTCAGGAAATTCATTATTTTCACATTAACTTTACTGGTTGGTGGTGTTGTATGAACACAGAAAAGTTAACTAACTAAGTTTGAGCAGTAATATTTACTAATCAGAAATACGATAAGCTAGTTTTTCTCTCTCTCTCTCTCAATATATATATTCCGTAGGGTGATACATGGAAAAATATTTTGTAATTCTTTTCTTCAGTATAAGGTAAAAAGGATACTGTAAAGATGAATAGGATTATGCTCTCCTTATAGAACGACTTTTATGCTTTTGACTCTTCACTACAGTTACTTTAGGTTTTCTAGTGTATTTTCGTTTGCTTTTAACATTAGGATTTGAAACATTGAAATCGCATACTTCATAGGTATATGTTGCACTTTCACCAAATGATGAAGTTATATCAGAGGTTACATTCTTACATGGAAACACTCCACTACTTGTTATACATGTTGGATATGTTTGTCCGGCTGAATTGAATGATGTGCTAGTCGTAGGCAATAGCTGACTATGATCAGAGTATTGATAGTCTGTTAGTTTAGAATTTCCTTCTATTTGATTAGTTTCAGTGGAATTATAGAAACATTTACTGTTGTCATCTGTATCACTCATTACCTGAGAACATTCTTTACAATAGTTATCAGAAATAGATCTATTTATTGGTATATCAAAACTGCTAGTTTCACTTAATTCCATTTCATTAATTTGAAGGCTGTTAGCCTCTGATGTTGCATTATTCTGTGAATTATCCAATATAAAATTATCTCTGTTTTTCTTCAGTTTTTTCTCTTTTCTAATCATATGATTACGTAGGAAATATCGTGAAAAATTAGAAAACAGTGTGACACAATTTTTTAACCAAACAGGTAAGAGATAATTAATTCTGTTCCTTATGCCTTGATCTCTCCATCTAGTTTTATTTGTATCTAGTTCCATATTTCTTCTTTTCACAGGATTATTCCCCCTTGAATTGGGTCTTTTCAAATGTTCGCTTAATTGTTTTTCACAGCAGTTTTTTAAATAATTAGATCTACTGATTAATTCAGTTTTCGAAATACATATTTGGTCAGATGAACACTGTTTTTTACAATTAGAACAATAAAAATCTTTAGAGTTTATACTTTTATCTCTTGAACGTTTACGTCCAACAGAAATATTGATACGTTCATTGGACTTATTATTATTATTGTTATTGTTATTATTGTATACATGTGAAATATTATTTGGGTTTTGTAATTCCATTTCTGACTTAGTTTGTTTAACAACTTGTCCTGTATTGATTGATTCATAGTGAAGACTGGAAATGTTATCAGTCAAGCAGTCACTTTCTTCATGATTGTCGACACTATTATTATTATTATTATTATTACCGTCATCATCGAATCCGGTAAGTGCATTATTATTTTTTTCTAATGTTTGATTAGAAATATCTATTTCATTGTCGGAGTCATCATTTTCACCAGCTGCATTGTTACTAGTATCCTCGTCTTCGTTTTCATTGTCTTCATCTCCCTCATTTTCATTCTCATCATCATCATCATCATCTTCAGCAGCAGCAGAAGTATCATCCTCATCCTCCTCTGCTTCTTCTTCTTCTTCCTCTTCCTCTTCATCATCACTATCATCTTCGTTGTCATTATCCTCTTCATCAACTTCATTTCTTATCAGACCTAAATGTCTTACCATTAGATTATCTGTTATTATACTATTCTGTTGTATGGTATCATCCCCATAGTCATCAGTACCACCACCATTTGATACTCTGGTAAGTGTAACTATAATCGGATTTCTTAAATTATCAATATTCCCATTCATTGTATCACGATTTCGGTTTGTACTTGATAAAGATGTTGTAGTTGTTGTTGTAGTTGATGTATTATTTGAGAATAGGCTACCTAAAATTGGTCGTAAAAGACTACTCGTTGGTAATCCTAAAAGCCTTGTCCATGTACCTAATCTTAATTGATCTTGTGGAGTTGTAACAGTCACATCTGTCATTGGAGTAGTAGTAGTAGTTGTTGTTGTTGTATTGTTATTATTGTCATTTTCATTAGTTATACCACTGTCAGAATGAGGACTATTGTATGCATGTGCATGATGATCTCCATTAGCATGCTCAAATCTCATTTGTACATTTAATGGTTCATTAAGGCGTACACTTTGATTTTCATACATATGGATTTCAAATGGATCTTTGTATTCAACAAATAATAGGAAATTTAATAAAATACAGTTATTTTGACTTAGAATATCCAACATAGTTTGATCTCGATAAACATCTATGGATAAATCGTCAAATGTGTATTGATACTGATTTTTACTGCTATCATTATTAGCATTGTTAGTAAGTCTAGGAGATGCATTACTCATTAATATATCAGCAGTATAACTAGATGATTGTTTATTTAATGCATCGAAATGTACTGAGTGTAGCTGGTCGTTTATATTAAATAGTATATCTCCACATTTGAATGAATTCAAGCATATAAGAAAATCCGTTGTTTTATTCGACTTTGTTTTAATCGAGTAGTCCAGCTTATTTAATTCACAGTTAATGTGAACTTCAACGGTCAAACGTTTAAAATTACACAGAACTGTTGTGTTATTTGCTTGATAATTAACAGAATTAGCGTTCACGTCTGATGAATCATTACGGAATGCAGCAATTTGCTTTTGTACAATTCTTAATCCCATTGGATAATTACTTAATTTAGTTGATAATGTTTTACTAAATTGTATTTCATTCATTAAATATAATTCATAATGAATTAAGTTTCTCACCAGATTAGATTCAACATCTTCAACAGTTTTTTGTTTATAATCACATTTTAAAATATGTGAATTTAAATCTTCATATTTACCTTTCCATACACATCCAACAAGATTATAACGACATGTTACATAACGATTTGGGCATAATTCATATTCATGTTGTTTAATTAATCTACGTGGTATAATATTATAACAGTAATGACATTCATGTGGTAATTCAGCAGTCATTTGTTCAGCTAGTAAACATCTACGTAATTTATGCTGTAAATTAACACGACAACTAGGACATTTAGCTAAATTTGTTTGGCTTGACTGTTGTAATAGTTGTATAGAACATTGTGAACATATTAAATGTCCATTTGGGCATTGATTCGTCTGATCTCTTATTTCTAAGCATACAGAACAAGTTAACAAAGATTTCAGTGTATCGAGTATATCATTTTCGTTGAGTTTCGACTTTATATAATTTCCATGGTCATGTAAAAATGTTTCATCATTGCGGTTAATATTTTCAAGGTCGTCAGTTTTTGAACTATCAGTGACAGTGAGTTGTTCTCCTTGTTGTTTCAGCTGCTGGTGATCAGTATCTTTATTGTTGAATAAATTCTGTTTTAATAAAGTTAACCTGGGTTGTTTATTCAACGGTTCTGAATGAAGTAATTTCTCTTTTTCCTCTTCTTGATTTGTATTACTATCGGAAATTGACTGTGAATTTCTTTTAGAATACTTCTGCATTACAGATGAAAATAATAATTAGTTTAGATAATTGGATATTTTACAATAATTCCGCGCATACAATAATACAATTAACAGTTGAAATAATAGTAGCGGAGATATAACTATTAATGCTTCATTTATTCTACAAATCTGAGTATAGTAAAGAAATGCTATGTAAAACAGACTAGAGATTTAAATTTCTGCTGATCGATATTCACATACAATAAGTATAATTAATTAAGACCGTGATGATATAACTATAAACAGACGCAGTATCATTAGCTTTCTACTAAGACGAGATTTTAGTGTAAGAAATAACTAAAAATTAAGATGGCTGATAAAACAAGTGGATACGACTGGAGTAAATTCTGGAATAACTAACGTTGACTAGTTGATTTTTTAATTGTTAACTTCATTGTGGAAAAAATTCATTTTCCTAAAAAAAACTTCATTGCCTTATTCATTTCATGCAGTTAAAAAACATGATTTACTTTAGTCGGTGGTGACTAGCAGTGGAATCCAGGTTGCGCATTTTGTCCTATCTGGGACTTGTCACTGAATACACCTGCATTCCCAGTGAGTGATGATGGCGTTCCCATTCAGACTCGAACCCTGTCCTCATCATTTCAAACGCTAAAGCATTATCCACTAGGCCACATGAACCACCTCTTTTACAATGGATATCGTTTATTATTTGTTTCTGTTGATAGGTCAACAGAGGACGAGAACTTCAGTCCAACATAATCAATCAACGGGAAGTACCTTAAGACAAATAACTGATGTTTTGAAGATTTATTGACTATAGCTTAAATAGTGAACTGGCTATCTGGAAGAAGGGATACTCCTATTTGGCAAAGGTGCAGAAAATAACTTACGACTTTGTCGCAGCACCAAGTATCATCATCGAACAGAGCTTGGAATGGCAGTCAGCTCTCTACCTCAACTTCATCGACTTTGAAAAGGCCTTCGACAGCGTCGATCGACAGGTGATTTGGCAACTACTTCGCTACTACGGGGTGCAGCCAACAATTATACATCTCATCCAACAGTTGTACGACAATGCTGCATGCCAAGTAATCCACGACGGGAAACTCACAGAATCCTTCGAACTGAAGACATGAGTAAGACAAGTGGTTGCTTACTATCTCCAATGATTTTCCTGATTACGGTAGACTGTATAATGCAACAGACAGCGGACAACGAGGAGATAGGTGTAAAATGAACCCACACACAATACTTGGGGGATCTGGTTAAATTCTTCCTACATTAGAATAACTGAATAAGGAGTATAAGTAGAAAGTCTACATCGACTGGTCAGTATACTCATTCTTGAGTTTCGTGCTTTTGAAGTTTAAACGCAATTTAGTAAGGTGTTTGGTTCACAGAGCTAGAGTAATCTGCTTTAATGACTGTCTTAATTTATTTTAATAAAGAACTCAAGATAATTGGATAATTACTTAATAAAAATGGAGATCCAGGAAAGTCCATAGATAAAAATATGAATATATCACCAGGGTAGGCTGTTATGCCAGCAGCTCCAGAGAAGCCCTCGTTCCTTAAACTGCAGTTTCCTGGTGATATAATCGATAAAATAATAATATGCCTAAAGATTACCGTAAAAAGAACATACAATGAAAAAAAAAATCAGGTTTTCTTTTCATAACTGAAACAATTTCACGTTCGAGAAATAAGAATAAACCACCTAAATTGACCAGTTCGACTCACTTATGAACCTAGTTACGTAGAGCACACAATTAGGAATTCGCACCATAGGATTCTCAGTCATCTTGAATGGTTGAGTAAGGTACAAACAAATTCTGTTCGTAGCTCTGTTTTAGGACACATTGTAGATACTTATCTTAAAGTGGATGTTGATAAAATATTTGAAGTTATCTATAGCAATCAAGCGATATTAATCTTGCCTTAAGACTTCGTCTTCAACATACAGAAGAAGCCATCGGAATCCAGCTGAGGGAGCCGACTATAGGCTCAGAAAAATTCTTACAGCCACTTTCCTTATTCTGGCTGTCATTACATCAATGTAACAACTGATAATTCCTCCCCCTATGTCATTTACAAGTTATTATTGTTTGAACTATCACATTATTCCGCATACATCACATTTAATTGTTTTTTTTTACGTAGTCCGTCTGATCACTCACTTATTCTTCTTTTTTTAAAGAAGATATAGCCACTTGTTTAATTTACACAAATATTTCTACTCTCTTATTGTAGCATTAATTTTCTTCGTTAATTATCTCCCCTGTTGACACTGACTAATCATAGTCAGCAAACTTATCATCACTAGATCGCCAAATTCTAAATTGCATTAAAATTATTATACATGCTATAGTAGAGCCACTGACGACGACCTAAATGAAAACCAAGTACATTTTCGCTCAATTTACTGTCCTCTAAATGTCTAAACGGTGGGTTTTCGCTAGATATGTTATTTACTAAGATACAATGCTATCACCACAATAGAATTATCGTTGCGGTGCACTTTGATGTCAAGTGATTGGAAGTAAGAGACTGCAAACCATGGGTTTATATTTTACGATTGCCAGTACTAGTAGTCAAGATGGTATATCCGCTAACTGATTCACAGAGTTTGATTGGTATATAGGAACAAGGATGTAATTAGTTGCATGCCAATAATCAACCATTTTATCAATTTTACTAATGTATGTCTTCAGTAGGCACTCCAACAATAGCTCAGTAACAACGCCTGTGGTATCGAAACATCCGATGGTGAGGATTTTAACCCACAAGTGGATATAGATATTCTGGCTGTTGCAGATACATTGTATTGACAGGCTAAAACGATTACACTGATTGTATCGATTTGTTCCTGCTGACTATCTGTATTCACGGTTGTTCTTGTTCCTTTACGTTTTCAGAGGAACATATGGCTTTAAGCAAGAGGCTTGAAGTTTCGGTAGCAGTGGTGTTTATTTTTACGGGATAGGGTTGCTAGCCTAATGCCCAACCTTCCCCCTTTACCAATCTCATTACTGGCTTAGCGAGGTAAAGGAGTGCGTCTGTGGCCGGGGATCGAACCCCGGACCACATGGGTGGTCGGCAAGCATTCTACCGTTGTGCCACAGACTCATTAAAAAGGGTAAGTTGCTATTAGATGGTTGGAGACAATCGACAGGAAGACTTAGACGTAGGTTTCGTACTAGTTAGCACTTGTCAGCAAGGCGTATCTGCAACTTTGAAGGACCTGATGTCCCTTCTGAGATTCAAACTCGTGTCACCTAGTGCTGCAGAGTCTGAGACGTTAACACTGAGCTATTTGGGCTCACTATCTGTAATTACCAAAAGTTATTTTAATCTGTAAATAAGTGATAAAGTGAAAGTCACTTTTATTTCTCCCCTAACCCTTATATATATCCCACTTATTTCGAACGTAAAAACGAAGCATTTCATGGAACTTCACACACTTATACGAACATAATGCTTTTGTAACAAATGAAGAGAAAAAACATCAATGCGAGAAACTAATTTTTATTATCAACGCAAATGAACTGGAATTTCATAAAACAATAACAGATAATAATCAGTTAATACAAAGCATCTAATCAAAAAAAATAAAAATAGGAGAACAAAAGAGAACTCATAAAATAATTGTACAAGTGAATACATCAACTGAGGTGGAAAATAACACTTGTGTTTTATAAATATATCAGATCATGTAACTACAAGCGGTAGATATGATGAATTTGTAAATAAACTACACACAGTATGTACAAATATCTCGATACATGTGAATGAATTGATAATATTGGATAATTAGTGTGGTCTAACTGAGCCTAGACATGATTCTGATTGATTTCTAACACGTGGTACAGATTGTTGAGGGTTACTTATGAAAGGTATTTCATTAACTACCTGTAATAAGTGTTCAGTAATTAAATCCACGCCGACTTGATTATCCGGAGCCCGAGGTAGAATCACATCAGCGTACTTCTTAGTCTGAACAAAAGTATTTTTAAAAAAATACACTTGTTAAAAACAAGTTACTCATAAAAGATATACATTGTTTAAAGTTACCTAGATATCAGTTTTTTACTAGATTAATAAACGCGACTCAAGTTTTCTTACATTATACGCACATGACTAATTATTTAACAATAAAAAAACTTAAGGTAGTAGCAAAACTGTGGTGAGTTTTTTGTATTTTGTTCGAATAATTGTTGCTTTAAGAGCTGGGTACACTTTTGCGCATCAATCTTATCTCCTAATTCCATCAACCGCTTCATTAACAGGTGCGTCATTGTAAAGATATTATTGTTTTCAACCTGAATAGCTAGTTAAACCACATTAATTGGTTAAAGGAAGTCAAGTTTCATAAGTTTTTAAAGGCAAACTATAATATCGAATTTACTGTGTTGGAAGGCCTAGTTTATCGTTACACTGACTGCAAAAGTAGTGGAAATGAAATAGTAACCGTTACTTTTTCTGACAAGAACACTACCACATATTAGATACACATTACAAACGGGCGAAAATCTAAATAATTGAATTGGATAATTTACTTGTACACCAGACATATGAACAGGCTATGTTTCACCGTTTGATGTTGAAATCACAGGATATATATATATATATCGCGCGTCAGGCCCTCGAGTGGAATCCAACTGGGAAGCGACGAGTGGGTCGTCCTAGGGTGACATGGAGGAGATAGTGCGAAGAAGAGATGAGAGACTATGGACAATCGTGAACCCAGCTGAAGAGGACGCCAGAAAATAGAACAAAGTGGAGATGTGTTGTTGAAGCCTATGTTCCACTCGGAACCCAAGGGACAATAAAATAATATATTATTATATGACAGCAAACATGAGTGACTGTTTCCAACTGACATATCCTTGTTCTAAGGCATTTCAAATATGATGTACCTACGTATACCTAACAGGAAGATGAAAAGTTACTACACAGATGCTACATTGGTTGTAATGACCGCGTTTTGCCTCTTTTTGTTCTCCTTAGTGTAAATAAGCTCGACAATAATAGTAGCAATGTTGATGCCAACAATAACATTTGTAAAACTTTAAGATAAAAGAACAAGATTTCTAGCATATCGAACCCTATGATCACTCCCCCTGTAGTATAGTAACGATAAATGTTCCTCTGAAGTATAAACAAAAAAACCTCTACGGGAGCCTAACCTGACAAAGCTCACATACTCCATGTCAATATAAGAAACAGAAAGTAGTGGATATAAAGATCAGTAGATGATATTATGTAGTACGACAGTTTTTATTGAATCAATTTTCCAATGGTGCTTTCTTCATAGAGATCCCTTTGGAGACTTATACCTTCAATAACGCTTTCAGAAACAGAAGACGAAGCCCTCCTACCGGATCACCTGTGAAACTAATTTTCTGAATAGCTTCCATGGGGAAATAAATATTGATTGTGTTAGCAGGAGGTAGAGCTCAAAGTCGGACTTGATGTGGTTGTGCAACATACTCGAAAGATACTCACATGTTGTATCAGTACAGTGGACAGAATGTAGCACTACTTATTACCTCACTGTTATTAGATCTGAACTCCTCTTTAACGACTTACCTTAAGAGAACTTACGTCAAACAGCATAAAAATTATACTATTTTTTCCATGACATTTCTTCACTTGGATGATTACACGAAGTCTTTATGTAATGTAGACAAATGAACTTTCAAACCGCATAGGAGACTCATCCCCGAGAAGAAAATCTACACAGCACGACCAGATCGTCAAAGAGTAACTTAAAATAATGGTTTAGTAGTTACTTCATTTCAGTATACCACTCTAAGCGCACAGAAGTAAAAATTACTTAAAACAGCAGGCCACAAGTGTTTAGTGCAGAAGTTTTATGGGAGAATCTGGCTTGATATTAGCCAGAACACCTTCGTAAAACTAAAGCATCTTGTTTTCCTTGTAAACTACCCAAGAAACAAAAAATAACGTCGAAACCAAAAATAGACGCCAACGAAAAAAATTAAGAAATGAAGTTTTACCACTATAAGATTCTAAAGGCCTGGAATGAAATTATCTGCGTTAATGTGATAAAATACAATGTAAATAAATATGAACTAGCTGACTGGTCTAGATAATGATGAAAGCTTCAATAAATTCATAGTTTAAAAGTAACTTACAGGTAAACAAAACTCCTCAAATGCCGGTTTAACGTACTTAAAGTAACTATCGAGCACGGATTCCAATCGACGACCTTTCGTGGAAACATCTCTCAAAACTATAATAATTTTATGAACACACTGCAAGAAAATGCACTCATACCTTTCCTGCAAAGTCTAGTGTCGGCATCAGACTCCACAAAAATTTTCAGATGAAATAAGTCTCGAACTTCCTTTTGATAGAATGTTAATATTCCTTCAACAATTACAACATCAACATCTTCTGGGATTTCTTGAACATCTGGAGTACTAAGAACAGAAATGATAATTTTAACTTCATACCTAGAATAAGCAGAACAATCGTAGGTATGAAGGACTACCGGTTCCCTTTGTTTGATTTTTCTTAAAACCTCGGCCAAATATTTGAAATCAAATGAATCTAAGCCAAATTAAGTGAAAATAGAATAACATATAAGAAAGGTAAAATATACTAGTTGTTAAGATAAAAACTGATTAATTACTTTCCCTTAGTTAATCAATTCTTCATGAACACATCAGGCTTACTTTAATTTGTTCAGTGAAAAAGAATAAAAGGACTTAAAACGAACAAATAGCATGAAATTTAACATGCATAGTATGGAACCCCTTGAATTCAATGTCAATTTCCAACTCTCAAGCGTAAGTGTCAAGAAAGTTGCTATGAAAATAAATGAATGAAGGCAAAGACCGAATGTTTAACTAGTTACCATATCACTGTGATAGCACATAGCTTTAAAAAAATAAGTCAATTTTCCGAACTCTACCCAACCTTTATAGAGATGGGACAAATCACTTGTTCTTACTAAATTATTGCACACGCTTGTTTAATTACAAGTTATAGGGTGTTAGGTGTCAGTTTTTCATTGGTGAACATTGACCATTTAAAAAAAAAGTGTTTTCAACATAACAGTCGATCAACTAAGATATTTGGACTATAAAGATAGAAGTAAAGGTAAGAAGTGAAGCTAATAATAAGAATCAATTGCAGTGATTCCATTGGAAAAATCATCTCTTCAAATATCAGAAACAGCCAACGAGTTGCAAGAGATTTTACAAACAGTAAATTGGTGAAAAATAGTCAACAAATGCTAAGGTACAAATTAATCAACCGAGAAGATTAACAAATAAAGTGAAAATTAAACATACACAAGAGCGAGGAGATAGAGATAAGGATAATTCGCATGCAAATATGGAAATCAATTAATACACTATGTGTCAATGAGCAAACAGTAAGTGCATAGTGCACAAAACGTTAATGTCACTAGAGATTGGCGTAACAATGAGATAAACATGCAAAAAAATATTAGACGCCACACTTCGAAAAAGAGGAGAAAATAAATGTAATGGAAATACAATTGGGGAGGATTTTCATGAGAGAATCATCAAATGAAAACTAGTGAGTATTTCCACAATCTAAAAGATAGTTAGGAGTACTAGCATATGCTTCATTGTATACGCTTCAGAGCTAGGTCCTTAATAATCTCCACCCATTGACTTTTAGCATTTAGACGACATCAGAGCCAAGCAGTCTGTATCTCTCTATACTAGGCTCAGGCCAACAGTCACTGACTTATTGAGTTAGTACTACCTTCAGCTCTGGCATCATACTATTTTCCAACCTCATTATACTTCAGATAAGATTGAGAGCTGAAGGAGATCATGTAATATGACACTCACAGCCCGTCCTAGCTATGTAAATAGACGGAGTTTTAGAGCTTTATCGAATGACTCGTGTCTTATCTTACACTTGTTATGCTGTTATATCTAATGTGAGTAAGCGAACAAAAACCTCTAGGTTTACGTAAGAAGCAATTCGGTTAGAAAGTTTTAAAACTTCCTTAATTAGGTGAACTTTAGTAAAGATAAAGGTACCGATCACAACCGTGTTAACCTACGATTATGAGCAATAAATAATGCTCAAAAGGTCTACTAGTTAGTAATACTGTATTACTGTCTTATAGAATAAACTAATCTAAAATGGAACTACGAATCTTCATCGATGAATGCAGCTGGACACCTATGCATACGACTAGTTTTAACTCAATTAGAAAGAAGTTAAAAATAACATAAGAGTCATCGAAGTGACTAACTGACTGGTTTCAACACAGGACTTTGCATAGATGTGCAGCAGTTCGAGTTGCCACACTCCCTGTAGCACACAAAGCAACAGAAGAGCGTAAAGAGAGATAATAAACAGAAAAATGAGGCAAAAAGAACAGTAATACGGAACAGCTATAGAATTTTATTGGATGTTATATATCACAAAGAGTGAATGCATCCGAACCAGCTGTTGCGAACGAATTCGAGCCATATCACCAATAGTCTTCAGCCATTGGTTCTTACCATTACAAGGACCCCAACCGGTCAGGAAGTCTACACCTTCCTGCTTGAATGGCGTAAACTGACTGTTGTGAATTTCATTACCTGATACTATGTTTTCACTTGACCACTACAAGCTCTGATATAATAATAGAACTTGTGCACTGTGGTAGAGTATAATTCAATTGTGGGTAAAATTTATTTTGATAAAGTCTCACAGTGTTATACAGTAATATTTACTAATAACGTTTCGAGCACAATTTATTGCTCATAATCATATCAACCACCACTAATCATTTTCCAACCTGATCCATTCTATTTCAGCTAACATTGCCCATTGCCGAGGAAGGTGATGGTTAGGCATGCGTAGCAACACATGTCCTAACCATCTCAATAGGTGTAACTTTGCAAACTCGTCGACAGATTTCACCTCCTTACCTACCTACCACTCGACCGAAGCCTAACCTCACTACTACTCACCTTATTATATCACTTAACACGGCAAATAGAACGCAGGCACCTATGATCAAAGACAGATAGTCGGGCTGTTCATGCCTTCCATTTCCAATGGCCATGTCTCACAGCCAGCCATAAGAGAGGACGCAGCGGACTGCTGAGCAGTACATACATCCTTTGATCGACAGCCGAACATCACAACTACTCCAGAGGTGGTGTAAGTTGGCATATGCCAAACGAGTCTTCTGTATTCGTGCTGAGATTTCGTCAGCCATCAACCCGCTGGAGCTGCCTGATGCAACTCCCAAAATAAGTGAAACGGTCAACAACATGCTCTACCACTTCACACCCCATCTTTAAACCAGCTATAAGTCGATGTAGTCCAGTCCCGTAGCATCATCTTACATTTGACAGCAGGAGCGAATCGCATGCCAAACATTCGAAAATTGCTGCTCCTCAAGGTGTTCAGAAGACTGTGCTCTATTTCTTCAGTGTCTTCACCTAGGAGGATTACTATATCATCTGAACATTCTAAGTCAACGAGGTTGCTCCCTGGTAACAAGTCAATCCCTGAGTCGCTGAAGTCACTTAAGGTTAAGTCTACTAGTACACCTTTGATGGTAATCCACAACGGGAAACTTACGGAATCCTTCGAAGTGAGGACAGGAGTAAGATAAGGCTGCCTACTATCGCCAATGATTTTCCTGATTGCAGTAGATTGGATAATGCGACAAACAGAGGGCAATGAAGAAACAGGCATAAAATAGACTCACACAAAAAACTTGGAGGATTTGGACTTCGCCGATGATATATGTCTGATTTCCCACAAACTAGAAGATATGCAAGCGAAAAGCAACAAGTTGGCAGAAGAAGCATCAAGGATAGGACTTCAGGTGAACATAGAGAAAACAGAGGTGATGAAGATTCCTGGGCAACACCACCAACAGACAACAATCAGTATAAGTACTAGGTAAAGTCGAAAACCTTTTCTTTTCCTTGTCTTGTCCTTTTTCAGTCTTATTCTTGTTCTTGTGGGTAGATACTGTTGCACTCTTATTCGTATACAGCATAAGTTTTAGCGATAGTTAATATGGCTGTAGAAAGTAACCTTAGAAATGGCACCAAAACACCTTACTCTGTAGTCACAAGGGCTTCAGTCAGAGAAGGCAAAAACGCAGGGACACCAACCCAAAGTCGCATACCCATCCTAAAGACCCGTGTAGGACTCGTCTGTCCTGATACTATGCCTGCACTGCCACAGTCTAGTCCTGAAACGGCGCAGGCAATACTAGTAGGACAGGATACTACACCTGCACCAACTGAAAGCCAATGTGTGAAGTACAACAAACCTAAAAGGAAACGCTCAAGACATCATAAGACCTCGAAGGCGTCACCAAGTAAGGGAGACGAATGCCAGGCGTGCAATATCATTGTTTCTAAAGCTGACTCAGCTTTCGAATGCAATTTTTGCAAACGGTGGGTGCACTACCGTTGCGACAAAGAGGTACCGAAATCATACTACGAGTTTATGAGAAATAACCCGTGCCCGTGGTTTTGGTACATCTGTCCACTCTGTCGCCCTGGTGTAGTCACACAGAGCGTGTCTGCGGTCAGCAGAAACTTCACGCCGCCCTTGTGTCCCAACACGGTCTTATGTAGCTCCCCACCTGCTAACATCACATTGCCAAAACTTGGCATAGACAGTAAGAAGGACACTCCAGTCCTACTGACCGAAAATGCCAATTTTCACAAGGTTGGACCTAAAACATTAAGGAAAGATAGAGTTAGAGAAGCACCACTTGCATCCACAAGCAAGCTTGGCAACACAATAAAGGCTGGCCAGAACCCGATGAAGCCTAAAGTTGCTGATGCTGCAAAGGAATACGAGAAGCCAAAGGCCAAACCTAAGTCTGAGGTTAATCGGTCTAATTCGCTCATCCTCTTTAACGTACCTGTGAGCAAGGACAGCTTGCTTGAACAGCGGGCCCTGTTTGATCAGGAACAGTGGTCCAACCTGTGCAATAAACTAGGTCTGAATATTAATTCAGTGAAATTGTGCAGGCTGTACAGGGGTGTCCACACACCTCAAGGTAAGCCACCCCCATTACGGGTTACACTGGACTCTGCCGAAGAGGCCGAAAAGGTACTATTGATGGCTCAGGTACTAGCCATCGACAGAAGCTCTAACATAAGGGTGAGACAAGACAGACCATGGGCTGTCAGACAAATGGCAAGGGAGTCACCGGAACTTTTGCCTTCCACCTCTATGGTAGTGCACGGTGTTCCGGAGCTGGAAACGGGCACTGCCTGTGAAAAACACATGCATGACGTACAGCAGTGGAGATGGCTGTCGTCTCAGATGGCCCTTGGCGCTTCTGGAGCCATCTCCGTTTACCGACTACCTCACCCCGCTCATCTCACACTGATTAGCTCCCCAAAGCTGCTTAGTGTCACATTCAACTCCCCAGAGCAGTTGGCCATAACACTTCAACGGTGGTATGAGATCAAGGGGAAATTGGGAGGACACATCCGATGCTGCGAAAGCAGACCTCGAACCATAAGGAGGCAGCAAACGGAGGCTTTAATACGTCCCCAAGCTTCAGTGACACTCGAGTGATGCAGTTCTGAGAATAACAGTCTGTGCCACCCAAGTGTCCTGCCTAAATCCAAGGGAAAAAACCACAATGGGCCGGTTCCATCGGAACTGGCCAACTAGTCCCAACAATAAGTTCCCTACCAGCAGACATCTTCACGTCAACTACCCCACAACACGCTGAGGTTGTAAGACTCACTGTCAGCTGCCTGTATAGCAATGTGAGGGGGCTGAGAGTAAAAATAGGTGAACTCCGAAATCTCCAAGCACACCTACAACTGAAAATAATCATTCTCACCGAAACATGGCTAACCCCTACTATCGCCGATAATGAAATCAGTATAGGTGATATGGTTTTGGTCAGGAGAGATAGGGATAATAAGGAAGGAGGGGGAGTTGCCATATACTTTGATAGGCAACTTAAATATGTTCGCGCAACGGACCCACCACTTATTGAACTCCCAGACTCCATATGGTGTCATTTCACCGTAGGCCACACCAAGCATTTACTTGGTGGCATCTACCGATCTCCCACCTGTGGGGCAGAGCACAATCAGCTACTGCTCAGCACTATCACAGGGATACGAGACTTGGGCTATGACCAAATCACCATTGCTGGAGATTTCAATGCCCCATCACTGAACCTTGGCTCGGGGTATGCTAAGGGAAAATTTGGCCGAAATCTACTCAGGCTATTCGGGACACGGGACTGACTGAGAATGTTGGAGACGACACTAGGTGGGGCCCTAGTGGAAAGTCATCAAAACTAGACTACATTCTAACTAGTGACCAACTACTCGTCGAAAAGGTCCAGGTCATGACTCCTCTAGGAAGTAGTGACCATGCAGTCATAGGTTTCGACCTCGTTCTCCGTGAGCACTTGCAGTGGGACGCTACGCAACCATGTCTGTGTTACAGCAAGGCTGACTACGCTGAAATGCGGAGGCTCTTGTCCGATGCAGACTGGCCCTTAGTATGGGATGAGCTGTCTGTGGATGAACACTGGGAAGCGGTAAAAAAGATTATTCATACAGCGAACTCGGATACCGTCCCTTTAGTCACAGCACAGCCCAAAAGAAAATCATCATGGTTAAAGAGAGGCACGCAGCGTATTCTGCAAGCAAAGAGGAAGGCTTGGTTTACGTGGCGCGTATCTAAAAACCAGATCGACCATGATGCATACCTGGAACTTAGGAACCGGTGCAATGCAAGAGTCAGGAGGGACAGAAGGTCATTCCAGGCTAACCTTGCTAAAAAACTCCTGGCAAAGCCGAAGAATTTGTACCGATTCATGTCGGAAAGGAAACCAACCAACCAAGGGGCTTGCGCCTTAGTAGGCCAAAACGGTCAATATCTCACTAGTCTGGAGATGGCTGAAACATTCAGTTTAGCCTTCGCCAAACAGCAATGTGGGTATTACCGTTACGAACCAAAATGGTGGCATGACTATTTCACAGGAGGAAGACCAAATAGCTACCCCTCAAATAAACCCTGCAATAGTACTGAGAAAGCTGCAGCGACTCATACCTGGGAAGTTCCCAGGTTGTGATGACATCAGGCCATCTGTTCTGAAACAGTGCGCCGAAGCTCTCTGTAGGCCTTTATGCGACTTGTTCCAACACTCCATGGAATCGGGGAAACTGCCAAAGGAATGGAAAAGAAGCATCCTTTCTCCGATCTTCAAGGGTGGGGATAGGCAAAATCCCACCAGTTATAGACCAGTAGCTCTACTCCCAGTGGTATCGAAAGTACTGGAAAGTATTATTGATGATCACATCAGGGAATATCTGGATAGGTCTAAAATACTCCATGAAGCCCAACACGGTTTCAGGAAAGGAAGATCCTGCGTCACTAACTTATTATCAGCTTGGGACGATTGGACATCATGCTGGGATATGAATGTTCCTGTCCATGTGATCTTTCTCGACTTTGAGAAGGCATTTGACACTGTCTACCATGACCTTCTCCTACACAAAATAAGCCAGGTAGGTCTAGGTAAACCACTTCTGTCATGGTTGAAGGACTACCTAACTGAAAGGCAATTTTGCACCAAGGTCAATCGAGTCCGATCATCTTGGCACAGCTCGTCATCAGGAGTGTCGCAGGGTTCTATCCTGGGACCACTGATGTTCTTGATTTTTATCAATGATTTACCATGCCGTCTAAACTGCCCGACTCTTCTATACGCTGATGACGTAAAGATATGGAGGGCGATAAAGTGTCCGGAGGACTCAGATAGACTGCAGGCAGATCTAAGGCTTCTGGAAGACTGGGCGGTAACCAGTGGAATGGCTTTCAACCTGAAAAAGTGCAAAGTAGTGAAGTTACGCACCTGTAGACTGCAGAATGCAAGTTACACCCTGTGCAATGAAAGCTTGTCCTGCTCAACGTCGGAACGTGACTTAGGTCTAGTTCTAACGGAGAAAATGGATACAAGCGTGAATTACACGGGGGATGTAGCGAGGGCATATGCGGTCATACACTTCACACATAGACAATTAGGTGCACTCACTCCTGAGCTCTTTCTAAGGTTGTATAAAACATACGTCAGACCGCATCTTGAAGTGCATAATATCATTGCACCCCCACTGCTTAACAGATACGCCAACCTCTTGGAAAGAGTCCAACGACGGGCAACAAAAGGAGTGGTTGGTCTCCGAAATAAACCATATGACGAAAGGCTGAAGAAATTAGGCCTATTCACACTCAGTTACCGTCGCCTGAGGGGGGATTTAATTACTGCCTACAAAATAACAAATGATCAGAATCACCCAAACAAAGGTGTTCTGCCATTGAGTAGGTATAGGCTCCCTCGTGGAAATCCCAGAAGGATAGCTCATCAGAGGGCAAGGACCCGGGTGCGCTCCCACTTCTTTTCCCTGCGGGTTTGCCGTCCCTGGAATTCCTTACCGGCAGATGTAGCTATGGCACCATCTGTGGACGCCTTTAAGCGAAGGCTGGACAACCATGCAGCGACACAAGGACTGCATCCAAATGGCCTATCCCCTTAAAATCGCATATACCATTCAAAGGTAGACAATTAAACTGGTCGTTTTACTTCTTCACATTCCCTTCAGTCTTACTCTCCTGACAGCTTTAACTACACCTATTATTATTATTATTATTATTATTATTATCATTATTACTGGTATATATATATATATATATATACCGGTTGACTGACTGTTGTTACGTTTTCTTATTCTTTCTCTGTCTGTTAGTCTGAATACCTTTACTAATTATATCTATTATTATTATTATCTCTTTTCCATTGACGACGATACCGAAAGACTAACTGGTGAAAGGATCAACTCCATTCACAGTAGTAACAGTCTTAACACACTTCATACTACAAACCCCATATAATTAACCCCAGCACTACTCCTGTTGGAGTCAACCAAAGCTACGACAGTCGAGTGGTGGGACGAGCTACACAGACGTTTACCAAAGATCAGGAACCTCTACCTCACAATCAAGAGGCGAGCACAAAGAAATCAAATTGGTTTATACTAGCTCGTAAAAACGATATTGGATATTGGAAGATGCTGCGTACAAGAATACAAACATTCAACAAAATGTAATCAAACCACAAATGGAACTTCTCAAGTGATTGTGTCAACATAAGTAGACATTAAAACGTAGAATTGTCTACTCATTAAGTACACGAAAAATGTTATCAACTAAAGTGACTATCGGAATATCGCACGACAGCGCTTAAAGGATCCGTGACACTGCCGTTCGAACCAATATGACAGAACTCAACAAACAGTTATCGACCAAATTAAGCTAATTAACAGTGAAGTTAATGAAAACAGTGGAGTGAAAAATATGTGTCTATAACAGAACTTACTGGGATGATCGAAATCGAATTCACTATTTAACGCCATTTTACGCTCTTCATCAGAAAGTTCACGATAAAAGGATGAAAGGGTGAGAACCACAACTTTCTTTTCTTTTGCTTTCTTGAATAAGACGTCTTTTATTTTTTGACATGCTTCTGTCTAAAAGCGTTATATCATGTAGGAGAAGTACCTTCCCTGAAGCGGCTCCCCCACTAACACCAATTAAAAAAGGCTTGTATGAAGAGCTCTGAACCATTTCGACATGAGAGAGTGTAGTGGCACAAATGTCTTATGGAGAGGCTGAGCACTTGAAGGTCACTTGTGCATACTGTGATTGGTAGATTTTCCTTTGCATTAACGTTGCGGCTAATACGTATTGCACGTTACTGAGGTGGGCTTTGAAATAATTGTAATAAAATTAGATTAACATAATTTTTGTCAGCTTAAGAAAACAAATAATTGTTTGTATGAATGGCGACAGCAACAATAGCGTCCCAGGTGTGAGAACGCTCCAATGATCTTGAACGAATGCTAGTCGTTGAATTACGGCACCTGTCATTATCAAAGCTGAAATATCAGTGATATTCACCAACTAGTAAGCGAATTTCACCCAGATTACGTTTTTAAGTATTACATGGGCAATGTGTTAATGGCTCGTCAGGGTTAGGATTAGGGTTAACGTAAGTATTAGTGCTAGGGTTAGGTCAGGGTCAGAATTAGGAATAGGGTTAGACTTACAGTTAGAATAAGGGTTGTAATTAGGGTTAGGATTAAGGTTAGGGTTACTGTTAAGTTCAAACATAGGGTCATCATTAAGGTTAGGACTGCGATTAGGGATAGATTTAGAGATGATGTCATTTATTATAATTTCTTTTTTTATAATAATAAGTATGAATATATATCGACAATTTTCCAGCCCAATCCGACAAAATCCGTGAACAACGTATTAAAAAGGCGGATAAAAGTGGGACACTCCGTTGAGAGAAGAGGGGCAATAAATGGGAGGATGCTGAGATTTTCCCCCTTTCCCAGACTCCCCACAGTGTCTCCTCTTATGTCACATATCTCCCCCTTGCTTGAGTCAAAATTTCCCCCTAATTAGATTAATTTCCCCCTATCACTCGCATATTTTCCCCCTAATCAGCTGAATTTCCCTCTGTTACTCGCATGATTTCCCCCTTGATACCTTCTATAACCACGGTGAACTGAGGATTTTATCCCCAGGCAGTACTGTTACAGCAGCTGTTTATCATCGTTTTTTGATACTTCGATAAGACAGCTATCTGTTTTTCATATCCTCGAGACTTTTTTTCCAGAATTTGTGAAAATTCTTGTCTCCGTAATGGTTGAGTCTGTCAAACGTGTAAGTACCGCTAAGAGACTGAGATCTAATACTCGTCAACCATCTGAAGGCCTCAGCTCCGTAGACGATTCTGCACTTTTTACATCAGACACACCCAGAGTTATGGTATCTGATATCATGGAGGAACTGCAAGATAATGCGGCTCGTAGCAAAAATGATTTACTGACAATTCAGAAATCAATAGCAGACCTACAGAGCGAGTATGACAGCATTATGCCCCTCACGCAACTGTGTGACCCATCCCAAAGCATCTGTCATGAATCACTTATCAAATCCGAGAGCACAATTGACAATTTGGCTGAGGAAGCTGTTAAGAGGATTATGTATTCGCATAACGTCTTGGCTTATAACATTCCAGAAAGAGGGCCTATTGTCAAACTTAAAACTTCATGTCTAAAGGCTTGTAATATATCGTTAAGCGACTGTCAGGTTTTGCGTCTTCTTAAGAAATCTGCAAACCACTCATGTTCTGTGCTTTTCAAGTCAGGTCTATTGAAGAATCTAGGAATTTTTTGAAATGTGGTAAGATAATAGGCTCTTCATCACCCTACAATAACACTTGGGTTGCACCAGATTTAACACCATGCCGAAGACGATGCCGCTCAGGAACACTGAATACTGACAACTCTCATAGGACAACTGTCGATTATGTTCCATGCGTTATTCTGTCTAGTGATATACCTGATGACCCCATGCATCAGACATTTTCGCAGGCACTGGCAAATATTAGCCAAATGATGCTGACACTGAAATGGTGGACATAGATGAATCAAGATAACATAATTTTGAAATATATCGTTTGCACACTGACACAGACGTGAATGGCCAGAAAACATCAAAACGTACCCCACTGGTGTTCCACCCATCTCCTTATAATTCACTTAATCCTCAGTCTGACAATCTATCCACTGTGAAATACCAGTCGAATGTAGCTACCCAAGTTAGCAAGTTCTCTAGGCGTTATGACAAACGTCCCATTCCCATTAAGAAAACTAAAGAGCCAGAGGTGTCCAAGCAACAGAAACCCTACATAGCATGTGCTGGCTACCCTGTTAGCCATCATCAAACAGTTGATAATAAGAAAGGGGAAAAAGAACTAAACAGTTAAATACTGAACCCAGAGCAAGAAAGCCCTTTGATATGATAGAGTCGAAAGCACCTCTAAGCCATCTTTCCAAGAGAAAGTCAAATATGATAGACCAAGCTCCTAGAGGTAGGCCTAATTGGTCTCAAGCAGAAGGTCAGTTATATTCAACCACTAATTATAGACAAACAACACAGCGAGGTAGTCGGTATTATTCTGCTCATCCACGACGTAAACCCATTGTTAGCCAGCCCCTCCTAATATTCTGTCAACTGAAAGTTATCGAAAATCCCCCAAACATCGGCTACAGACTACATTTAGAAAGCCAAATAAGCCAACAGAACCCATTTATACATCTTACGTATCTAGTAGGAACCATGTACCTATGTCTGCACAAAACTTGATAAGGTCTGAAGACTACCCGAAACAGATACCAACACTTCATTCCTATTCTGGCAACAAATTACCGAATACTCATATCGATTATACCTTTCACAACAACGTTGCCCCTACTAGCCGCTTCAGGCAGGATTTTCATCAGCATCAGGAAGCAGAAACACCGGGCATCATGCATATAGCACGCATGATATCGGATCAATTCCTTGCTGGCATAGCGAACAGTCTACAGCTAGGGCAAGGCATATTTTCCGGGAGAGAGCTGACACAGTGTCGGCACCAAACGCATATACTAATATCTCTAAAATACTAATATCTTATTATCTCACAGGTATCTGTCACTACCCAATCCAAACGACAGACCATCCCTGACTACCACCTCACAAACATGCCTGAAGTCTTCCTATGATCCAAAGATATTGGTAAATGAGTCTAAAAACATGTATACAGAGGAGACTCACGGATTATTTTATCAAGATGTTGTCCACTCACTGAAACCACGTAGCCAGTGTTTATCTATTATCCTAGTAAACACTGGATTAGTCCTTAACAAATACTTAACACTAAGTACATTAGCTTCTATATGCAGACCGTCATTGATTATGATCACTGAAACCTTGTGAACAAGTGAAATCTCCAATGACAGCATAAGAATTGATAAATACAGCCTTTTTCATTGAACACTAGTAACTAGTATGACGTGTCTAGCCCTTTCTTTGGTGCAGACTGAGTTCCATCAGTCAGGTTTGCAATGTGGCCACCATTCTAGGTAGCTCGCCATCACGGTGCACATTGATTTGATGATACTGGATAGTTGGTGGCAATCGGCAGGAAGCCTTGAACCTAGGTTTCATGCTAGCTGGCACTCGTCAGAAAGGCGTATCTGCAACCTTGAAGGAATTCATGTCCTTTCTGAAGGGGCACGGACAACATAACACCGTCTGAACAAAGCAAGAACTAGTTTTTGCAGAATAAAGTGGTACCATCTTTTATTTCATTGCCTTCTCATCAGCTGCTCGCAGGCCAGAGACATTAACATACTTGCACAGCGCTCATTTTAAACAAAAATCAATCGATCAAGTTTGCTGAAGCCATTTCCATCAAGTGCCTGAAACCTGATTTTATGCCTCCGGAAAGAAGCGGTTATACGTCTTTCTTTGCCCTGGTAACTGGATATTTTCATCTCTCAATCATCTGAATGCGTAATGCTGAAAAGTTTTCATTGTGTATGATTATTATTGTTCGGAATAGTTTTAATATTACATATATATAAATATGTATATATTATTACTGCATGCGTATATTGATCGGTTGATTTTCGTTTAAAATGAACTCTGTGCACGTATGTTAAAATTGTTTTTGTAGATATATTTAATGATGTCTCTGGCCTGTGAGCAGCTGACGAGAAGGCAATGAAATAAAAGATGGTACCACTTTATTCTGCAAAAACTGTCGTTCTTGCTTTGTTCAGATTCATTAAGGGGAATAAATGTATGAAATAACACCCTCTACGGTACATGTGGGACATGAGTTTCCAGGTAGTGGCCATAAAATAGTAGCATGTTCTTTTAAAATCTTTCCTGAAACAAAACGCAGAGATGAAGCCGACCAGACATCTATAAGATTGCACACACATACTGACTGGGACTCGTACTTTTTGAACGAGTCCTTAGACGCAATTCTTAACAATTTTTATCGCGATATTAACTCACTTCATGACGTCATTGCACCTGAGGAGATTCTTAGCTTCAGATTCCCTCAAAGCGATTATATTCCGACATTCTTAAGGAGAAGTCTACGACAGCACCCAGTAAAATACTACAGATATCATGACTTATCATCATTAATTGCTATTACGTCCCTCCTCACTAGAATTCAAGAGTTAAAAATTATAAGCCTAAGAAACAAAGAAATGCGGGCCATTCAGCCACCGCATAACCAAGGAGAAAATGCTAAACTTTTCAAAAGTAGGTTAATAAACTCCAAAACAACCTATCCGAAAAATGTATTCTTAGACGACACCGAAGTGATCTATGAACTGTTTTGCAAGCACTTTGCCAGATTACACACCTTGGAGAACGATCTGGTCGTGGATTTCCCATGTAAAACAGACGAATGTCTAATTGAAATACTTTTCACCGCAAAAAGGATCGATAAAGCTATCTCAAATCTTAACCTTAGTAACACTATTGGTCCAGACGGTATATCTTCCATTCTGCTGAAAAACGGTGGTAATGACATGAATTTACTCCTGCTCAAGTTATACTCAATTTCACTAAGCGATGGGACATACCCTACCTGCTGGAAGAAGTCTTATATTGTACCTATCCATAAATGCGGGCCTATAGCTGATATCAACAACTACCGCCCCATCAACATCACGTCTGTAGTTTCACGTGTAATGGAAAAGATAATAAAGACTCAAATCATTCGGTATTGCTGTCAAATGACCTACTATCCCCATCCCAATACGGTTTCTTAAGTAGAAGGTCGTGCATTGCTTGCCACTTAGATTATTTTGACTACATTACACAATGCAT